GCATGCAGTCCTGATGTGACCTGATAGGCTAGGGTCAAACAGAAAGGGAGGAGGTCCTTCTCTATAGGTGGATTAGTGGAGGGGCATAGAGGGAGAAGAGGAAGGGAGGGTGGGACTGGAAGAAGATGTGGGAGGGGGCCACAGATGGGATACAAATTGAATAAATTTTAATAAATAATAAAAATAAAAGAGATGAAAAATATCTATCTTCCAAGTTTTCCCACCAAAGTTTCAAAATTCATTTATAAAAACTCAGTCTGTTTGCAATTATGCTCATTTGCATGGAAACCAAAGCTTATTACTCTCCTAATTATTACTGTTATGATTGTTCCTTTCATTTGAATACAATGGCCCTATAACTTAAAAGAATAAAATTTTGAGCCAGCCAAAAAAAAATTGACAAAATTTAACATCTTTTGATGAAAATTATCAACATATTGGCTATAGGAGCTATGGTGGTTGGTCTCAGTTGTTGACTCAATGAGCTATAGAACCACCAGGATCCAAGCCTCTGGCTATGAGGTACGGGATTATCTTGACTAAGTTAATTGTGTTGAAAAGAACCACCCATGGCAGATGGTGTGGTTCCTTGGGCTGAGATGCTGGACTGTATAAAAAGGACAAAGTGAGCTGAGCACATACCATCCTCATTTTCTTCTTCTTGTCAAAGTATTTTCTCACAGCAACTGGAAAAGTAACTAAGTTGAAATGAAACTCAACTGAATGAAGGCCACATAGAATAAGGAAACAAATAACATCACAGTCAATGGTGAAACACTGAAATCTTTCTTCTAACAAGAGGAACAAGACAATGATGCCTACTCTACCAATTCTATTGAACATAGTACCAGTATTACTAGCAAGAACAAGAAAAGACATCCAAATATGAAGGATGCTGAAGTGTGTCTGTAGATGACAGGACTGAATGCACAGAAGATCTTTAAGAGCTAAGTGTGGTGGTGCATATCTATAATCCCAGAGCTTGAGGAGCAGACTCAGGAGGATCAGAAGTTCAAGGGCTACCTTAACTAAATAAGGAGTTTAAAAGTAGCCTGGGCTATAAAGAAAAACAACAAAACAGAAAAAGTGAAAAAAGAAAATCCTGACAAGTTCATGGTTTTAAAGATGGAAGAAGTAGCCATAAGAAAAAGAATGTAAGTGGCACCAATGGGGGAAAGATTCTCTCATAGAGTTTCCAGAAGAATGCAACCTTGCTAGCATGTTTATTGTAGCCTGTGATATTCATTATGCATTTTTACTTCCATGATTACAAGATGTCTCTCTGCTGTTAAAGTAGCAAAGGTTGTGGTCAATAATCCCTATTAGGGGACCAAAAGGAAGCTCACAGAACCTCACATTTCAGTTGAGACCCTGGCAGCAACTGACATCAGGATTGCTGCTTTGTAGGAGACTTTGAGCCAAAAATGCAATTAAATAGGTCAACATCATTGGATCAAGAAGTACCCAGGACACCAATACATGATACCTCCAGGTGTCTTTGTAAGATCTCTCTGAGGAACATTACCTACGGGCAAAAGACCCTAAACACTAACAGCATCATCACATAAACTGGGAGATCAGAAAAAAATAAAATGGGGGAGAGAACCCACTACTTCAGGCATGCTGTCTATCTGCTTCATTAGGATGGACAGAAAGCTCTAATTTGTAGCTCAACGTAGCACGAGGAATTTATATAACTTTCTTGAAATGACATTTTGCAAATGGAAAAGAGATTAATAGTAACCAGGGATTAGGGAAGGGATGGGGCAAGGAAGATAGAATTGAAGGAAGGCTGGTGTGGTTGTACACTGGGATCATGGAGTGCTTACAGTAATAGAACCATTCAGTATCTAACTAGAATGACAGATGCACAAACCACCAAATGATATTTGCATGTACAAATAAAACTGGAAAATTTACTTTCTTGCATCTACATAGCAAGAAAGTATAAGAAGTTATCTGTAGGGACCTAGGTGAAGAGAACATGTGACTTAATCTATGATGAACTACAAATTAAAATTTAGTATCGTCAGATATGACTTACATGCCTTAACCTCAGCACAGAGGAGGCAAAGGGAGAAGGAGGGCAAATTGGAGACCAGCCTTGGTTACCTAACAAGACTATAAAAATAAACAAATAAATAAATAAATAAGCAAACACATAGATAGATAGATATATAGATAGGTAGATAGATAGATAGATAGATAGATAGATAGATAGATAGATAGATAGATAGATAGATAGATAGATAAATAGATAAATAAATAAATAAATATTTCCCTAAAACCAAAGTGAAACCAAAATAAAATTGTAATTTTAAAACACCGGGTAAAGACAAATTTGAGAATCATCACAGGGAAACTTAGAAAAAAAAATGAATATTGTTTTAAACTGCTAAATTTATTTAGGGTAGCAGCACTGGAAAATGACTACAAAGAAGTATAAATATTATTTTTATTGGAGTATGGGCGTGGTAGGGCACACCTTTAATACCCACTTTATTAATTCTATTGAATAGGAAGCTTAGGCAGGTAGCTAAATGTGAATCCAAGGATAGCCTGGTCAATAACGTCATGGTCCAGGTCAGGTGGGGCTATATAAGTGGATCCCTGTCTCAAAATAAATGAACAAAATAAACATCTTCTCTGATGTAGAAATATGTTTAAATGGTTTGTTGAACAGCCAAAAGACACAGACTGATGCACTCTCAGCAGCACAAGCAACTTCTCTCTGAAGATAGTTTTCCTTGAATTACTGAAACCAAGACTAATACCTAAAGATTTTATTTAAATAACAACTGCTACTCCATCTTGAAAGTGTGTCACACATTTCCTTGCAAATGAATAGAATTTCCTATTACCTAAACACAAACCCTGATAGTAACTGCTTTTTAATTATTTTATTTTTTATATATGTGTAATTTCACTGCATACATATCTATGCAACACTTGCATGACTGCAAAGTTGGATCCCCTGGAACTATAGCCAGTTGTGAACTGCCATGTGGGTACTCAGAAACCCAGGTCCTCTGAAAGAGCAGTCAGTGCACTTAACCATTGATTCATCCATCCTTCAAGCCCCCTCCCCTGATAGTATCTGCTGCCAATAATAAAACTTGAAATTTAAATTAAAATGTAGAATTTTCAAAAATATTTACACCTGACTGTGATGTGAACAGATAGCCTAGTTGTAAAATAAATGTTTTATTCATTCATTTATTTGTTTGTTTGTTATTTGTTTGTTTGTTTGTTTGTTTGTTTGACAAGGGATTTTGCTATTGTAACCTTGCCTACCCTGGAACTTGCAATGTAGGCCAGAATAGCCTCAAACTTTGGGTAATCTCCCCTCCTCTGCCTCCATAGTGCTGGGATTACAGGTGTATGCCACCTCATATGGCTTGCTAAAGACTTTTTTCCAGTGAGGGAGATGGCAATGTTAATCAGTGTGGTTTTGTGATACTATAGAGTGAAACATATTAAATTATGGGCACTGTGCATTAGTCAGGGTACCAATGATTCCAAGTGACCAGTGCCTGATGCTAGCAAACCATGAATGAGCAGAAGATCCATTCAAAAAACAGAAGAGTCCAGTGGGGCTCAGTGGGGCCAGACAACGAGGGTTCACACAGATGATTCATAATCCACACTGCATTTATTCTGGGAGAAACAAGCACTGGTCAGGCTTTGGTGTCCTGTCTGAGAAGAATGTCTCAACTGATCTCAAAAGCACATTAAATTTTCTTTCCTTTTTCTACTGCATATCTGCATGAGCCTGAGTTTTCTTCACATATTGCTTTGGACCTCAGAATTTATAACAGCTCAGTACAGATGCACATATAAGAATCGAGGTAGAGAGCTGAGTGACATACGCTTTTAATCCCAGCACTCGGGAGACAGAGGAAGATGGATCTCTGAGATTGAGGCCAGCCTGGTGTACAGAGTTCCAGGACAGCCAGAGCTACAGAGAGAAACCCTGTCTCAAAAATACAAAGGAAGAAGGAGGAGAAGAAGGAAGAGGAGGAGGAAGAGGAGGAGGAGGAGGAGGAGGAAGAGGAGGAGGAGGAGGAGGAGAAGGAGGAGGAGCAGCAACAGCAGCAGCAGCAACAGATGAAGCAGCAGAAGCAGTATCCAGATGGAGGAGGAGCATTTCTTTAATTCCAGGACTGGGAAGATAGGGTCAGAGGCAGGCAGATAGATCTGATTTGAGGCCAGCCTGGTCTATCTATTGAGTTGTGGTCTACATAGTGAGTCCCAGGCCATCCTAGTACAATCCTATCTCAAAGCACCACCCAGGTTAAGAATCCAGGTGTATACTATTCAAGCCAAACATTACAGAAAATTGTAAAATAATGTCACTCTTCACTCTAAAGTGTGTTTTCATCTTATAAGCACAGTTATTTCTCATAGAAAATTACCACATATGTTGATGCATATGGCTTTTTCTTTTCTTTAGATTAATAACAGTTTTTCAGTTTTAAATTCTCAGATGAGACATATTTATGTGACCCACATAAATAAATTCTTTCAAGATCTTCACAACTTTAGGGGATTTAGAAAAAATGTTTGAGCATCTTCCTTCAAGAGTTCTTTTGTAGCCTGAGGTTGCCCACTCTGCCAGACTATGAATGGTTCATGTTTGTATTGTAGTTAGTAAGACTGATCCCACCAGGGATAGCCTGGGGCTTCAGTAAATTTATAACCCACCTTTTCTGACTCTTCCTGTACTGGTTTCTGACAGCCATTGTCTCAATCACCCAAAGCATTGGGGAAATAAAATATACTGCCCTCACATAAGGCATAATAGTCAACCAGAACGTATTCTGTTGAATTACATCTCCATTCAGATTGATGCCTTGACTGTCTTTTCATATGTACAGATAAAAACTCTACATAGCTTATTCTGATACTGTCCCAGATGGAGTTCCAAAGAGTTCTTCCTCACTTCCCTTCTCAGATGAGCCTTGCCTTCCTCCTTTCCCAATTCAGATGAGCCTTATTACCTGCTGGGTTTGCTGGGGCTCTGGTTGTTCCTGGCCTCTTAGTTGTGGTGCTGAAGTGGTCCCATCTTGCTGAAGAGAGAAGGAAAGACAACAAGGGGAGCAAACTAAGTAAAGTATATCAGGTACATCATGGCCTGCAGAAGTCACATCATGAGGACAATAGCCTTGATATTACTCCCTGAGGCCACTGTCGGTGAGAGATTCCAAGGGATCACACTGGGAGGAATGATAAAATGACATGGTTCTGGAGCTGGAAATACAGATCAGTGGTGAAGAAAGAATTGAAACAAGCCAAAGTTAACTTATTATACAGCAGGAAAATGTCTAAGACAGATGCACATACTCTCATGTATTCAATATACATTAAATGAAAAAAGAAGATGACACACATATGGTTATATAACATAACCATAATAATAAAATGCATAATAATAATAATAATAATAATAATAATAATAATATAAAGCCTTGCACATGTAACAGAAAACAAAGAGATGCATAAAGATGCAACTCATCTTCTTGTATGTGTCTGCTTTTCTTAAGGGGATATTATGAGTCTGGTCCACAGTGATCACCAGTAGTTGCTTTTTGTAATTGTTTGCTTGACTCACGCTTTACTGAGGAAGTGTCTTTCAGTGCATCCTCCAGATTAAAATCATCAATGTCGCTGTATCCTACAAATAAGAAGATAATTTTAAGTTTAGGTGGTTTGTAAAATGAAACTCAGTAACACTGAAATATTTTCTTTGTCTTTACTATTATAATCTGTAGCTCTGAGAACTGAATCTAGGACTTAGAATGTAATGGGTTTTACTACTGAGACATACTCTAAAATATACCCTTGATATAGTCTTTGCCATTTAAAAAATAATGATATGAGAATACAAATGAAAAACAAAAGAAAGTAAAAGTATCTATACTTACATCAGAAAAAAAAAAAAATAGGCCAGAAGTCAAACACTCCAAAATGGTAGAAAGGAACAGATCATTAGATAATGCAAAAGGGCTAACTCATCAAGAAGTCAAAATGTTTGTGATATATATATGATCAGCACCCAAATATATAAGTCAGTCATTGATATGAACAGAAAGTATAATAGGAAACTTCTATCATTGAATAAACTACTAAACATAGCAAAAAAAAAAAAAAAAAAAAAAACCAACCAAAAAAACCCCAAAACACTGGGTTTTACAAGTATTTACAGACCATTCTTTGCTAATGCACACACAGGGAATATCACAGATCATGTGTCAATACACAAAGCACATCCCAGCAGTGACTGCAGAACACTAGAACCATATCAAATCTCTTTTCTAACTACAATAGCATGAAACTAAAACTGAATGGTAAGAGAAAGCTAGAGAAACACACAAATATGTATAAATTAAACAACACTCTTCTCAACAATCAATACGTTAATTAAAAACAAAACAAAACAAAAAGAAAACCAACAGTATCTTGAGACAGGAAAATGGAAGCATGATATAATCAAACTGAAAACAGTGCTGACAGGGAAGTCTCCATCACAACGTACCTTGTGTTATACCTCAGAAAGCTAGAAAATAAGGGGGCAGGGAGGAGATGAGGGAAGAGGGAGGATTGGAAGGGAAAGAGGAAGAGGGCTACAGGGATACAAGTGAATGTATAAAATTATTTAAAAATTAAAAAAATATTTAAAAAAACAAGTAAATAAATCTTAAAAAAAAAAGAAAGCTAGAAAATAGAACAAAGGGAAAGCCAAGCATAGTAAAACATTAACAAAAAAAAAAAACAAAAACAAAAACCTAAGGTCAGAATGGAAATAAACAAAATAGAAACTAGAAAATCAAGCTGGCTGGGAAAAGGGCTCCATGAATGAAGTGCCACCAGGTGCAGCTTTTCCCAGTTCTGCTAGGGATCAAAACTTATGTCCTTACACCCACACAATTTCATGCATGCAGTGCCTTCGGAGGCCTGAAGAGGGTGTCAGAACTGGAGTTACAGATGATTGTGATCTGTTATGTGGGCGCTGAGAATCAAACCCAGGTCCACAGGAAGAGCAGTCAGTGTTTTTAACTGCAGGACCATCTCTCAAACCCTACAGAAGAAACAGTTGAATTCATAGAAACACGAAACCTTCTAAGACCAACTTGTGAAGAAATAAGCAATATGAATAGACCAAAAGTGACTAAAGAGAGTAAGCCAGTGATAAAAAACTCTCCAGACTTCACATTAATGAATTATTCTATACAAAATTAAAAAGATAACCTATGTTTACACACACACAAACAAACAAACACATACACACTCACGGGGGAGGGGGTATTTCCAAACTCAGTTTTTCTCATCTAAAAGGTAGACAAGGACACTACAAGAAAACCACAGGACAACATTCTTTGATAAACACAAAGGCACAATTCCTCAACCAAATACTATCAAACAAATACCTTTCCTCATTATCAAATAGAAATCATCCCAGGAATAAAATCAATACATGAAATACAGTTTACTAACAAAAAAAAAAAAAACCCAACATGATACTAAGCAAAATTACATGATTATAATAATAGATGCAGTAATGCATTTGACAAAATTCATTATCTGTTCGTGTTTAACACTATCATAAATGCAGAGCCCATAGCTAACATCATAGTCAACATGTTTTTACAGCACAAATAAATATACCCAGTTATGGAATCAACCTAATTGTCCATCAGTGGTAAAATGGATAATTTTAATGTGGTATATTTGTGCAATTGAATATTATTTTGCTATACAGAAGAATGAAGTCATGTACTTTGAAAGAAAATGGATGAAATTTGTGTTAAACGTAGAAAGCTTTATGCGGAAAGCTGATGTCATACATTTTGTCTCAAATGGAGATATTTTAGATTTGAATTTTTATTCATTCTTCATTTTTGAAAATTATATGTATGTATGTTTTTGTGGAGATAGGTTCAGGTACCCTTCGAGGCCAGAAGTTCATGTCAGATCCCTGGGAGGTGGAGTTACAGATGGTTGTTAGCTGCCCACCATAGATGCTGAAACCAAACTCTCAGTGACTGAGCTATCTCTCAAGTATGAGTCCAGATTTTAAACAAACACCCGAGGAATAGAAAAAATATCAGAAGTCACAGATCTTGCGGCAGAGTTCAGAATAAATGAAACCCCTGTGAGGTCAGTATGGAAAGTAAGAGCCAGATATTGACCAGCTGGTTTCAAACGATGAGTTGGGTAAGAATAATATATATATCAGAAATCCAAAATGATCTAAAAGCTGTAAGAGATATTCAACTTGTATGTTACAAAGTTTCCAGAAATAAAAGCAGAACAATGGTGTCATAAAATAAACAACCCAGAAATAAACCCAAGTGTATCCTTTACAGATATCTGATTTTGAAAATGCACAAAGGGTTAAGGATAGTAGATTCAGGAACTGCTGGTGGGAAAACACAAAGGAAGAAAATTAGATCTTTATCCCAGTATAGTAAGCAACTCAAAATTAATTTTAAATTTATTAAATGCAATATCCAAACCTGTAGAGCTCCTAAAAGAAGTAGCAGCCTGACCGTTTCCTGAAAACTGTCAGAGTCACAACAGAGTCAGAACTCACAACTCAATATCAAGAGAGCAAACTAGTTAAAATGGATAAAAGACATTTCCCCAAAAGAAATTATATTTATGGTCAACAGATGAATAAAAGATAAGGTACAACAATTCTAATCTTTAGGGAAACGCAAATTAAAAATAAAATGAAGCTAGGCATGGTACACCTTTAATTCTAGCACTCAGGAGGTAGAAACATTCCAAAAGCATAGGCAGAAAAGCAAAGTGCAAGAGTAGGGAGTGGCTTAAAGGTCAAGGACTTGCTGAGCATAAGTGAAGCCCTGGGTTCAATTCCCAGCACTACAAAAACAAACACAAACAAAAGTAGACTAACAGGGTTGTTTCAAACTAAAATGCTTCAGCATAGCTAAAAATAAATAAATAAATAAACAAACAAACAAATAAATAAATAAATAAAAGGAAAGAAAAAAAATTGGTGAAATTAAGTGACAACTCTAATTTCACAAAAGCTAATAATCAAAATGTATAAAGAACTCACAATTCAGTATCAAGAGAGCAAACTAGTTAAAATGGATAAAAGACATTTCCCCAAAAGAAATTATATTTATGGTCAACAGATGAATAAAAGATAAGGTACAACAATTCTAATCTTTGGGGAAATGCAAATTAAAAGCAAAATGAAGCTAGGCATGGTACACCTTTAATCCTAGCACTCAGGAGGTAGAAACATGAAGCTCACTATCCAGCAAGACTCTATCAACTAAAGGGAAAGGAGGGGGATGGAAAAAAAGGATAAAGAGAGGAGATAAAGGATAAAGGGTAAGAAGAAATGACAAAAACAACTCACTCGCGAGCTCTTTTACCTTATACCTAGTGAATGGTGGTTAGCATCAGAAAGATAACTGACAACAGGTGTTGGAGAGGCTATAGAGAAAGGGGAATTTGTGCATACTGTTTGAAGGATATAAATTAATATCAGAAATATAAAAACCAGTAGGGAATCTCCCAAAAGGTGAGCATAGAATTTTCATATAATCCAGTATATCGTGCCTGGAAACCGAAATCTGTATGTCAGAGGCATCAGCTCTCTCATGCTCATTGTAGAATTATTTATAGTAGTCAAGAGATGAAAACAACCTAAAGGTTTACCAATGACTAAATGAAAAAAAAAATATGAAGTTTTTGACTAGGGATATAGCTTGGTGGTAGCATGCTTACTTAGCATGTGCAAAGCCCTAGGCCTAATCCCTAGCATTACAAAAAAGAAAGTGGTATGTATAACATATGTCCTTTCTGGAAAAAAAAAAAAAGGAAATTCTATCACTCGCAGAAACACGATCTTGTATGTATAGCATCTAGAAATGCAGAGCTTTGAGGGTTTATAGCCTTACCTTGCTTCCAGTTCACTCTCTATGCTTTGCATTTGCAAATGAAGAGATGGAGCTTCCTGCCCTAGCCACCTGCTGCCATTTCTTCCCTACATCTGACAGGGGCTGGGATGGAGAGAAAGGCCCTTGTGTCAGTTACTTTTTGTGGTGATTTGAACAGGTTTGGCCCCCATAGACTCATTTGTTTTAATGCTTGGACCACAGGGTGTGGCACTATTAGGATGTGTAGTCTTGTTGGAGTGGGTGTGGTTTTGCTGGAGTAGGCACGGCCTTCTTGAAGAAAGTGTGTCACTGTCGGGGTGGGCTTTCAGGTTTCCTATGCTCATACTCTGCCCAGTATGGAAGAAAGTCTCCTCCTGGTTGCCTGAAAAAGACAGTCTCCTTGCTGCCTGCACATCCAGATGTAGAACTCTTACCCACCTCTCCAGCAGCATGTCTGGCTGCCATGCTTTCTGCCATGATGACTGAGCCTCAGAAAATGTAAGCCACGCTCAATTAAATGTTTTCCTTTATAAGAGTTGCCTTGGACATGGTGTCTCTTCACAGCAGCAAAACCATAAATAAGACACTGTTCTGTTGCTGTACTAAAACACCATGATAAAGAGCAACATAAGGAAAAAAAGCTAACTTTGGCTTGGTTGTAGAGAGTCCATAAGATTACTGGTGATTTGCAATCTATGTATGCTTTTATTTCAGTTCTGTGAATAGGAGACAAAGAACCTGCACTTACCTGGCCTGG